CCAGGGGAGGATGGTATTCTGACCCGGGACCCCCTCGGCACCCCCCCAATGACTCTCCCGTGGACCCCCCCACCTGGAGGGAAGGGATCAAAAGGAAGGGGCTTCCCTTCGGCTCAACTACGACTTCGTTCAATTTCGCTTTGGTTTCGCTTTGGCTGGCCCGCTTGAGGAGGAGGGCCCAGTGACAGGGGGGGTAGCGCGACGAGTCCAGGGAAAGGGGGGTCAAACGCGACGGCGGCGACCACGATGACGACGACGACGACGGCGGCGAGGACGACGACGACAGCGTCGAGTCAAACAGAACAGCGTCTTCCACACGCCGAGAGGGTCGGCGGATTTCGGAAACGACTGGCCTCCTCCGTGTATCTGATGGAAGCTGTTTGATCACTTTGATCATCTAGTTTCGTTGCAAACGCGAGAGCCGCAATTCGTACTCGTCGCCGTTCATCCGTGTCTTGTTGGGAGGTTTTCTCACGATTGTGTGCAGCGAGGTGAGAGCCACATTTCGAACACCACTTGTGCTCCGTGAGTGTAGCTGTCGTTTTTTGTTATAAGGTCTATGCCAACACATCGTGGGGAAGTCTCAGACGAAACGCCCAGCCCGCCCTGCTGACGCGTCGAATAGTGCGACGAGGAGGAGTTGTTTACACGAACGGGGTGTAGATGACGGTGCACGTATTGGGAGAACGTTCCCCCCAGGGAGAAAAGAGGGGCGTGTTGGTTTTGGGCGGCCAGGGAATGATGCGGCCTTGACTGGAAGGACGGAGGCTATTGAGGTTCACTGGAGGCAGTGCTTGGCAGGTAGTCGGCGCTGCCGCCGAACGGTGGCCTCACTGGAGCTCGAGGGAGCTTCTGTTTTCGGACCCTGTATGCTCACCCGGCCTTGGGTCCTTCGGTCGGCCAGGACGTCGGCGGCGCGCCAGGGGGGTAGTGAGAGGGGGCGGGCCTATCCAGAGGGCGGCGGGGCATCTCGGAAGCCTTCCGGCCTTCTGAGACGCCCTCGGTGGCCGCTTCGGAGAAGGCTCGATGATCCTCAGGACGTGTGTTTGCCCAATGTGTGCTTATCCCGTTTAGCCCAGCCGGTGGAGCATTCCATCCTCTGCGTCGTATCGAAGGGCCTCGATGGACAAACACACGTTGGCGCTGACACACGTTTTGAGGATCATCGAAAGGCCCTCGCAGGTTTTCTCAGAAGGCCAGAGGTCTTTAAGCCTTCTGAGGAGGCCCGCCCCCTGTGCCTCCCCCCACTGGCGCCACGCCGAGAGCAGCTTCCTGACCTCGAGGCGCTCCGAAGGGGGGGAGCGAGGCCGTCGGCAGACGCCGAGGGCTCGGCCAGGCGAAGGGTGCACACCTCCGCACATCGCCTGCTCGCTGCCGCTCCGCGATGTCCCCGGTCCCGTCCGCCTCCGTCCACGAGGGGAAGCGGATGTCCACGCCGCGCGTCCGCCGGTGCCCGCGCGCGGTGAGGACAAGGCCATCAAGCGCTTCCAGGTCCGCAACATGGTCGATGCGTCCTCCCAGCGTGACATCCGCGACGCCAGCGTGTGCCCCCCTCCCCTCCCCTCCCTCCCCCTCTGGCTTCCGGGTGATCGTGAGGCGCCTTGAGTCGGTGAGAGTTCAGGGCCGAGCGGGCCTGGAACGACGCCCTGGGTCAAGCCCGGGTGCACGACTGCTGCTCCTCTTCCTCTCCCCTTGACATGTTTCCTCCTCCTTCGCTCCCACCATCCCCCCCATCTTCCCCTCGCCTCCCTTCTCGCTGCCCCTCCGTTGATCTTCAACACCAGGCTATGCCATGTACTGCTATGCCCTGCTACGACATCCGACCGTGCGAATATAGAGAGTAGCTCTACGCCATGGTACGGGATGGGAGGGAGGGGTAGGACGTCAGCTATGACGAGAGCGCACCTGGCCTGTCCTCCTCCCCCTCCGCCGCCCCCCGCCCTCGCCCGCTCCCCCGCCCCCCCCTTTGGCCCGCCGGCTGCAGTGCTGGGCCGTGCTCCGCCGTCGCCGCCCCGCTGCTGCCGATGGTGGCCGCGGCGGAGGGCGGAGGGCGGAGGGCGGAGGGCGGAGGGCGGAGGAGGGAGGAGGGAGGAGGGAGGAGGGATGAGGGAGGAGGGAGGGAGGGGAGGGAGGGACGGGAGGGGAGGGGATCCCCGCCGCCCTCCCCCCCTCTCTCCGCCCCCTCCCCGTCCTGGCCGCCGCCTCTCGGGCGCTCCCGCCCTGCCTCCCCTGGCCCCCTCTCCAAAACCTCCCGCCCGAGGCCCCGCCCCTGCTCCCTGCAGAGTGGCGGGGGGAGGGGGGGAGCGGGGGGCTCGGGCAGGAGAGCGCTGGAGCCTGGAGCGGCGGCGGCGGATGCCTCCCGGCCCCCCTGGCCGCCTCGCCCCTCCTCCTCCCGGCGTCCTCGCCCTGCTGCTTCCGCGGACGCCCCGCGCCAGAGGTACCAGACCTTCATGCTCCCGAAGCTCTACATGAAGATGCTGTACTGCGTCTCCTGTGCCAT